CAACTTTATTGCAAATGTCTGATAAGGATAAATGAAACAGGCCTCCTGACTCATAGCCTTTACCAACAAAGGTTCCATACTTGGAAATTACAAATTTATTCGACTCAAAGACAAGCTTGTAGCCATCTCTACACAGAAGAGATCCGCTAACAAGATTTTTATTGATGGAGGGGACATAATGCACGTTCTTCCCCGAAGTAAACTTTCAGATCGACCGTGCCAACACCATGAACGGAAGCACTTGAACCGCTGCCCATCAGCACGGTGGAAGTCCTTGTGGTCTGATAAGACGAAAACATGGAAATATCACCGCATACATGCACATTAGCGCCCGTGTCAATCAACCAATCAGGAGAATGACATACTGAAAGAATAGTGGGAAATATGCCATACCCAACATCCTTCATGTTAGTGTCTCCAATGACAACATTAATGGTCTTGCCGCCTTTCCCAGGATGACGCTTGTCATAGCGATTAGGGCAACTTGGAGCCCAATGATCAGGATCCCCACACACATGACAAACACCTTTCTTCTTGTCATTCTTCTTCTTGAAGTTCGTGTGCTGCACAGCCTTATTCTTCCCATCAAAATTTGCTTTACCATCAAACTTGCCCTTGTTCTTGAACTTGTGGGGCTGGAAGTTCTTCTTCTGTACCAGATTGGCACTAGAACCTCCCTCAATACCTCGAGCACGGTTGTCCTTTGCTCTCGCCTTTTCTTCCACATCAAGAGTACCAATGAGATTCGGAACAGAAAACTCCTGCCTCTTATGCTTCAGTGAGGTAGCAAAGTTCCTCCACGTGGGAGGAAGCTTAGTGATGATACCTCCGACAATAAACTTGTCCGGTAGGATACAATTGAAGTGCTCAAGTTCTCTAGCAAATGACTGTATCTCATGAGCTTGCTCAACCACGGAGCGCTCTTCAGTCATCCTGTAGTCATAGAATTGCTCCATGATGTACAACTCAGTGCCAGCATCCAATACCCCAAACTTGGCCTCGAGTGCGTCCCACGTATCTTTTCCATTATCAATTGACGCATAAGCATCAACTATGTTCTCACCAAGAACACTCAAGAGAGCAGCCTTAAACAAGGTATCCATTTTCTGAAAAGCTTGTGCCTGTTGGGCATCTTGCTCTCCTTCAGGTTTGCCAAGAGTGGCGTCATAGCAACTCATGGTTTGAAACCATAAGACTGCTTCACATGCCACCTCTTATAGTGGATACCCTCAAACATAGGAGGTCTCATGGAAGCAGCAAAACCACTTGGGGTAAATTGCCTATAATAAGGTTTTTGGATTGATGGAAATATGAGCAATTTACCGAATGATTTTATTAACAGAAATACTAGATAAAGCATGACTAGTATAGCAGTAATAAAATAAGTCATGCGATTAGACAAAGTGAAGGTAAATAACATCTGCATATATGAGCTAGAACCGATCATCTCTCGAGTAGACAGTAGATCAAGGTGCATATATGAGGTAGATCCTAACATGTGTAAGGCAAACACTAGAACAAGGAACTGTGGTAGGACCTCTAACAGGAAAAACAACAACACGTACTGGACAACAGCCGGAGCAGAGGCACTGGACTTGGGGTCGGTGTCCTCCATGTCGTCGAGGAGGTTGTCGATGTCGGGGAAGTACTCGTCATCGAGGAAGTAGTTGCCGGAGTCCGGGGTGTCCGTGATGAAGAAGTCAGTAGTCACGCAGAGCGCTCCCCAAAAACCTTATCACCCTTCTCCCGTACAGGACTCAAAGAGGTGCGGTTTCGGAGGCCTACTGTCCCAACTCGCGGTGCACGCCGCAAGCCGGGATGAGGAAGACAGTAGCAGCTCATAGATTGGAACCAGTGGCGAGAGGAAGGAGAAGTTCTGATGCGTCTCTGTGAGAGGAGCGACCTCCCTTTTATAGGCGCAAGAGAAGGAGGCGAGAGGGCAGTGACGGGAGGCAAAACAAAGAGAGGGAGACAAAGCGACGGGCTTCAGCCGAAGAGGCACCCTGTTCGGATTCAGTGTCCACTGTGAAAAAGTTTCAGCTCCCGCGTGACCTTTCGTATACCCGTCATGCGTGGGAAAAATTTAACATCGGCTCGGCTCATTACCGCAACCCGTGGCGCGTCATGACGAGGCGTGGCGGGCGGCGGAGGAGGAGCGCGTGTGGATGTCCCTCTTGTTCTCATGCTCATACAAGTGGGGAAAGAGCCTTCCTTATAAAGAGGTCCAACTCCCTCTAAACTAGCAATGTGGGACTAAACTTTAGTTCCACCTCTTGTCTTGCACGAATGGGCTGCGTGGGCCTCTAGGATTTATTAGGAATTTCTGAAACTGCTATTGGGCTAGGCCCAAATAGACAAAAATTCCAGCACCTTTGTCCCCATACATGTTTCTCTTTTGTGTGGAAGGCTTCTCGACTCTGCTAAAAAAAGCACAAGAAGAGGGAAGTATAAAAGGGGTGTTGCTTGGGAGCACTGGCCCCCAAGTCACACACCTCTTGTTTGCGGATGATAGTATTGTTTTCCTTGAAGGATCGTATGATAACATGGTTATGTTGAAAGATATTTTGTTGAGATATGAGGAGGCCTCGGGCCAACAAGTCAATTTACAAAAGTCCTCCATTTTCTTCGAGAAAGGTTTTCAGGAAGAGAACAAAAATGAGCTCCAAGATGTATTGGGTGTTCAGTCAGAGGCACTGAGTGAGCGGTATTTAGGATTGCCAACACTGGTTGGGCAGTCTAAGGAAGGTGCGTTCAAATATGTGACAGAGAGCTCGAAAGGCAAAGTAGGTGGATGGAAAGGTCAAGGATTGTCAAAAGCAGCTAGGGAAGTGTTGATCAAGTCTGGATTACAAGCAGTACCTAACCACACCATGAGTTGTTTTCAGCTTACAAAGAAGATGTGCCGGAACCCGACCTCGGTCTCCTCAAAATTCTGGTGGGCGGCAATGAATGGTGAATGTAAGGTACACTGGATCTCGTGGCGGAAAATGTGTGCATCGAAGCGGGACGGTGGAATGGGTTTTAGAGACCCCGAGGCTTTCAATCAAGCGCTGCTTGCGAAGCAAGCGTGGAGGATTTTGCAGGTCCCAACTTCCTTGTGCGCTAGGGTGCTCAAGGCACGATATTTCAGCAACGACTTGATCCTGACGGCTACTGCAACCTCGTCTACATCCTATACCTTTCGGAGTATTTTACATGGCAGGGACCTGCTGAGGGAGGGTCTGATATGGCGCATTGGTGATGGTTCGTCCGTGAATATACATCATACAAATTGGATTCCTAGAGCAAGAAGTGTGCGTCCTTTGTGGCAGGTTTTTGTGTCAGGTATGACTAAGGTAGCTCACCTTCTCACTCCAGATGGCACACAATGGGATATGAATAAATTGCATGTGATGTTCTCTGATGATGATGTGAACGACATCAAGCAAATAACTATTGGAGGTCCGGGAACTGAAGATTACCCGGCCTGGAACTACACAAAAAATGGTGACTTTGCTGTTCGTTCTGCTCATCACCTTCGTATGTCCCTGAACAATGCGAGATCCGGACAGCCGGAGACCTCAAGTTCTGTTCTCAAAAATAGAGGATTTTTGTCATTGTGGGAAACATCCGCTCCAGGCAAAGCTAAGATTCACGTGTGGAGAATGATTTGTAATGGACTCGCTGTGGGGGCTGAGCTGCATCGTTGGAGGATCAACCCCGGTGTTTTTTGTGTGGCGTGTGGGCGGGAGGAGACGGTGCTGCACCGTTTCTGGACGTGTCAACACTCTGCGCGGTTCTGGCAGCTTTTGCATTCGGAAAAAAGGGAGTTTCGGTGGCGATCCCACCAAGTTCGATCGGCTCCTAGAGTGCGCTGGCAAGCTGGTTGCTCGGGTGGCTTGCAGAAGCAGCGGAAGAGGAGAAGGCGACCATGATCCAAGCGGCGTACGGGCTCTGGTTGGCTCGCAACGAAGCAAGGGATGGACAAAGGATTCCTCCACCACATGAAATCATAGAAAAGGTAGCAGCCCATATGAAGGAATGGAAGGACGCACACATTAGTAACCCGCGACCGGCAATGCCACAGCTCAAGCAGAAGTGGCAGCCGGCGGATGCTGGGTGGCTGAAGGTGAACTCTGATGGGGCAGTCGCCAAGGCGAGGAATTCGGGAGGAGTTGGAGCTGTAATCCGAGACCACGAGGGAGCGTTCCGGGCGGGGCTCTTTCACTTTTTTAGGGATGTGGTGGATCGTGAATCAGTGGAGATTTTGGCCTGCAAACGAGCTCTTGAGGTGGCGAGGGAAATCAACGCCGAGAAGGTACATGTCGAGCTTGACTCTCAAACTGTGGTCCGAAAGCTAAATGATCACCACAAGGAGTTGTCGAGTGCTGGGCCATGGATACAAGAGATCAAGACGATGCTCGCTTCGTTTTCCGACTTTAAAGTTTCGTGGGTTCGTCGTTCTGCTAATGTTGCCGCACATAAGTTAGCGAGAGTCGGTGTCGGTGATGAACTTTGTAAGGTGTGGTTGGGGCTTACCCCGGATTGTGTTCTTGATGTAATTTCCGAGATTCCGAACGCATACAATTAAATAAAGCGGCAATATTGATCTAAAAAAAAGTATATTATATAGGTACGAACCCCTATATCAGCGGAAAAAAAAATTGCAAGGTCTGTGGCGGTTGACGCGTGGAAGGTGGAACCCTGGCCTCGCGTCGGATGCTCAGGCCACCAGAAGCAAGGAAAGCACAGCACGGGCCATCGGCCTGCCCGCCCGCCCAAACGTCTCCCGTCCCTGCCCGAGTCGTCCCAGCCTTTTCCTCCGGCCTCCCCACACTTACCCTCGACCGCCGACCCCCTCGGCACCCGTACAAATCCTTGCCGCCCTCCCACGAAACCCTAACCAGAACGCCCTCCATCTCTCGAGGGAGGCGGCGGCGGGCGGCGGGCGGCAAGAGGAGTAAGGAGACGAGAAGGAGCAGCAGCGGGAGAGGGCCGCGGCCTGCGCGGCATTGGCGGCGATGTCCGCATCTATGTGCCGGAAGCGGGCGTCCTCCTTCTCCGAGGAACGCTCCCACGCGGAGGCGTCGTCCTCACCGCCCTCCAAGCGCGCACGCTTCCGCGCAGACGGAGGCAGCCCCAAGCCGCGGGGCGTCGTCGACTCCGACCTGGTGGCCGTGATCCGCGCGCGGTTCCCTTCCGTGAGGCCTGAGGTGATGCCACCCTGCTCGAATCCATTCGAAAGCGGATATGGTTATTATTTCCTTGTTTGGATTGATTGCGAGAGGAAACGTTTCGTGTGATGTAAATCTGTTCTTTCACTTGAACTAAGTAGTGGCTCTCGCTGATGTGGCTGTGCAAGGAGCAAGAATCCCCACGCGCTGTTGTCGCACTCAGGTTGTTACTGCCGAGCCAGTGTCTGCATGCTTTCCAGCCCCCTGGGAGTGGGTGCTAAGCTCCCATCGATAAGGTTAGATGGAGTTGCAGGAACGAGATAGTTTGTTTTAGCTTGTGCTTTTAGTAATTGTGTGCCTGTTTTAATTGTCGAACTTGTTGTTTGTGATCATTTTATGCTGAAATGGAGGTAGGATATGTGTGCCTAGATATTTTCTGCATTATGCATTATGGGAGATTTTAGTAAGAAATACATTTGTTGTCGGACCCTGCTCAAGCGGGAGCTAAGTGCACCGGGCTGCCCTTTTTAAATATATTTGTTGTGAGTATGCAACAGCTGGCAGTTCTAACAAATAATAACTTGCACCGACAACCTTTTCTGGGTTGGATGAACATGGTAACCGGTACCATTACAAATCTCTGTTGGTTAGATGATCTTGTTCACCTGTTTATGCCACTTACTGTGTTTCCTGGCTTAGATAGGATGCCGTTGTTTGATTTTGCATTCATGTCATGTGTTGTCTTGTTAGCTTACGTGGGATGCTGTCCTCTGATTCTTCAACTCCCCGAAATTGTTAAAAAGTGGTAACATCATCTTGCCATAGCTAGATATTTTTACCCTTTTATTGAATTGTCCAGTGTTCAAGAAAGCGCTTTTAAGCCACGCTTAAGCGCTGAGCGATGGCAAACCACTTCGCTTTGGCACTAACGGTGGATTAAGCGTTTTTGTAAAAAAATTGGCCAGAATTTGGCTGCCATGAACTGCTTCTGCTTGGCTGCTTGCGCAATAATGGCAATATGCCATTTATCTTATTATTAGTGTCTGTTCGGGAACTATTTCCTTCAGATTATGGCCACATTATCTCTATTTGAACCGAACTGCATTTTAGTTGTTATTTTGCTTGCTGTGTGAACCTGATGTGTATTTGCTACGGTGTAATGTTATTTCAACTACCTATGTGTTACGTTTCCTATTTTCCTCTGCATATGTTATTCAAAAACAGTAAAAATCAGGCCAATTTTAAAAAAAAACGCTTGAGCGTGCTCTAAGCTGTGCCCTTCCGCTTCACTTCCGCTTTCCGCTTTTTTGAACATTGGAATTGTCACATGTGCTTATTGACGTGTTACATCGAGTTCGCTAAAGTGGTATAAGTATGTCACTTTTGGGAGCTTATTGGATCTGGCAACTAAACCTACTCACTATTTGAATCCTTACGGAAGCTTTTCTCATTTCAGTTCATTGAAAAGGCTCTGGAAGAATGTGAAAACGATTTGGATTCAGCAATGAAGTATTTGCTTCCTCTACACTTAGAACCCACAGAATATAATGTGGATCCCGTGTATCAATCTCCCAATGAAATGTCTACTGAGGTTCAAGTGCCCAATGAAGGTAGTCTTTCATTGTAGTCTGATCTTTTATGTGATGTTGACACCATTTAATCTAAAAGAAAACCAAGTAATGCAAAAAGCTTTGCGTCTAGATGCATTAATAGAAGTAAAACAATTCTCTATAACTGTCACTCCCTAAGCACTAAACTCCGCCTGTAGTGATGCCTGGACACTGTAATCTTTGTTGCTTTGAATTAGATTTTCTTCCTCTTGGCATTGGTAGATTTTACCACACTTGTGGTCAAGCATTTTCTTCTGTCAGTTACTATGTTAGTATCCACTCTTCTAGCTTGTCCCAGCACTGTTTTTCCAGCAGGAGAGCTCCACATATCTGTGAAATTGGTTGAAATATTTAATGTAATGCCATGCTATTACTTTCTATCACTTTGGTGAAGTACTCCCCCCTTGTGCGAGAAGGTCCTTGGTTTACGCAGCCTCTCTGCATTGCACATTTGTACTATGCAGGGTAGGTCTTGCCTCGTATAATCCTTCCCAGACCCCACCTGGTGTGGAACCTTCTAGCACTGGGTCTGTCCTTTTAATGCAATATTACATTCTACCTCGATACTTCTTCTGTTCATATTCACGTGGCTTTAAGGCTTCTGTTACTTTTAAGGAATTTACTAAAATGACCACGTAACTGTATATATGTTGTCAGTAATATATCTTGTGCTAAGTAAAAAACACCGTGTGTAATGCAAGTAGCATGCTTTAGATAACAAATGGTTTACATTATGGTTTATTCGGCCATGAGAATCGTGCATCCATGCTTTATGTTTTGATTAGAATAATTTGGGGATATCTCATTCATAAAAGCGATTATCTTAATAATGACAGCTATCTTGCTTTATGCTACAGGTATTGTAGAATGTAATAATGAAGTTCCTGCACCCATAGGAAGTGTTCCCGGTGCAGAGAACCTTCAATCAGGTATCACCCAATGGGTTGAGATTCTTATGAATGAGATGGCAAGTGCCTCTAGTTCAGATGATGCAAAGGCTCGTGCGTCAAGAGTACTGGAGGCTTATGGCAAGTCCACGTCCTCTTGTATCCGTACAGAAGCAATGCAGAAATATCAGAAGGTAGTTGAATACCCCTCCCAAAACACTTCGTAACTTGCCTGCTTGATACCTATCTGATTTTTGATACTTGTTATGGGTTTTGTGCTTTTATCCTTGTCCTTTGAATTTGGCTTCTCGAGCAATATAGGTTTGTGCTTGTAGCTTGATTCCAGTGACTGGTCAGAAAATCTATAAGTGGCTTGAGGGCCAAGTATTGGCAACCGATGGTTTGTATAGGTCCACGCCTGGTAGAAATCTTATCAGTAACTAAGACTTCCAAAATGTGTCACATATTAGTAATGAACTAATGACTTTCCAAAAATTTACTTTGCATCAAACTTCCGCTGTCTGAAATGTACTATTCCATTGGACTTGCTCCCTTATTTCCACAGTTTGTTTGTTTAAATTAGCTTCTCCTTGTTTTCTTTGTTGTAATTTATTTACTAGTGATTGCTAGAAATCAAACCATAGCATTTTCATACGATGGTCTATTATATCACCATAGAACTAGCCATGGATAGGGGTGCGTGGAAGTTAGCTGTCCACGTGCCAGAACCATGACTTGGTTTCGACTTTCGAGATCTTATGGGTTTCAACTCTAGCCTATCCTAACTTGTTTGGGAATGAAAGGCTTTGTTGTTGTTGTTGGTGGTGGTTTTGTTCACTTCTATAGGGTAATACTTCCTCCTTTTGGGTTTACAAGGCCTGTATGTATTTTAAGATTATTTTCACCAGCAGTTAGACCAAGAATATATGAATTTTGTGCCATAAAAATTATTACTATGGAGACTTCTTTCGAATACTGAATACATATTCAATGGTATACTTACGACATATAATTAATACGAGTTTTTTGTTAGTCAAATTTATGGTCAAAGCTGACATCAAAATACGTGCAGGCCTTCTAAGCCCTAAAGGAGGTAGTACCTGTTGTGTTTACTCATGAGTTATTTGATCATGTATGTAATTTAGTTAAAAATATTGAGTGGTAAACATGATGGAAGAAATTCAAGTGCGCAGCCAAATCTTTGATTCCATACCTTTTTGGGAGACTAAAAGCGAAGCTATGGCACGTTATACCACTATCCTAGCTGCGACCGCTATAGCTAAAGCTATTACCTTGTAAGTGTGCATGGTCCAAAAACAACCATATTGAATGGTAAACATCATGTAATCATTTGTACACGTAAACTTAATTCAAAACGACCACATATATAACTAAATAAAATAAATTAGAAATCCTAACAATGTAGCATCCAATCTATCTTGGGTGGTTGTTTTATCATGGAGCATAGGCCGGTTGGCGACTGCTTCAAGACGACTCTCACCGACACTCACGATGTTGCAACCAGAAAAAAAAATCATTGATCCAGTTAGTTAAATGATGGATCCTCTTTAGTCCTTACTTGGCTAGTATTTTTTGATAGGCACTTATTTTTATCTTTTTCCTATAAAAACGCTATTGTAAATAGCTTCCGTGATAGCTGACATAGCTATAGCTCGGACCTCACCGCGATGCAGCAAAAAACTTGGTTTTGAAACCTTGATTCCATATGTTTCTGGACGGAGGGAGTTTTTACCAGTACATGTTTCATGTCTTTGGATATTCCTGAAGGTCGATTAAGTTGACTTACCGTGCAGTTCTGCTATTACAGCCCCATTATGAATACGAATAAAATATATCAATGTATGGTGGTTTAAAACATAAAGTAGGTTTATACGACCAGTTGAACAGCATTGCAGCAAATGTCTGCGGGTTTACATAATATGTTTACTACAGTATTGAAAGTACGTGAAGCAAATTAGAATTTGATTGATTTTGTGCTCTCCCTGAGAAATTTTTGCTTTTCAAACAGGAAATTTTGTTGTACAAGGAACAATTTGAAGCCGTCATTAAAGAAAATACTATTCTTAAGAAAGCCGTGGCAATACAACATGAACGCCAAAAGGAGCATGAAGAGAGAAACCAGGAGCTTCAACAACTAAAGCAGTTGGTTATGCAGTACCGGGAACAAATTAGGAATCTTGAGGTCCAGTATTCTTACTGCCCTGCTATTCCCTTTTTGTCATGCCTCTGATGTAGTACCTTGGGAACACGGTTGTGGTAAATGATGTTTTTGTTTCTTTCCACTTGTGTACAGATAAACAACTACGCCTTGTCCATGCACCTCAGACAATCTCAGCAGGGTAACTCGATTCCAGGGCACTTTCATCGGGACATTTTGTGAAACCAGAAGCCAATACAAGGTTTCCATATAGCATGAGGACAAGTTGCAGGTCTTGTTGCGAGAGGCTATGTTCAACATATATCACCTATACTCAACATATTATAGGCAAGTGATACCATAGCTTTGATATATGGTGATGTATACCTTTGTACCTCTGTATAGTGTGCTGATTGCCCTCCCGGTCGGGAGGGAGGGAAATCAGCCCAGCACGAGTCGTGCTGTTGTTTAAGAACAGACATGATGTGATAAAGTTTAAAAGAAAGGAGAAAAACACATTCAATTTTTACACAGATGTGTGGTTTTTCATTCTGTGCCGTGATCCCAAAATGTTCAGTTTTGCTCATCCTGTGACAAGGAACGTGTGGCTTTATTACTGTATACTCCCTCCGTTCCTAAATATTTGTCCTTTTAGAGATTTCAAATGACTACCACATACGGAATTCACTCATTTTGCTTCGTATGTAGTCACTTGCTGAAATCACTAGAAAGACAAATTACAAAGTTAGTACAAAGTTAGTTCATCTATTTTGGAACGGAGGGAGTATTTAGGAACGGAGGGAGTAGTGTTCATCATATAACGGTTGCATGCTGCACAAGTTATTCAAGTGTGTGGTGCGTTGTTTACTTGTCTTGTTTTCAAGTTATTCCAGTATATTTGTTTTTTTTTGCCTCTTTTGCATACGTGAATCTGTTGAGCCTGTTGAGTAAATACATGGTAAAAATTGTTCTGCATGTAGTTTTGTAGGCTGCATATGAGCTGGCTGCATCAGGGAAGCAATTTTTCCATGGTGTTTGGTGGCCTGCGTTGGCTGGGCTGATCTACTACACGGTGTTTGGTTGCATGTACTAGACAATTAAAAGTTAAAATCTACACATGACATGCAGTGGTCGCATCTAGTGGCAGTTAGACATGATTCCATCGGCTACACTAGCACCATTTGTTGCGCGGGGAGTCCACGAGAAGTGCAGTGTGCGTGCAATGGCGACATTAGAGTAGCAGGTCGCTGGCGAGGAGTCCGAGAGGAACAACACCGGCGGTGGCGGCGAACATGACAGGCATCCGTGTTGCTATGTTCTGTCCTTTGAATGCTACGTATATGCTGATGCACGTTATGCTACTTTCATGTTGCATGTATTGGATGGATTTAGGGTTTCCACATGAGGAGGGCGGTTGTGGACGCAGAAACTTGACGGGTGACACGTGTTCATGGACATATAGGGACTCAAATTAGCACATCCTAATTGTAGATGGTCTTAGCATCACTAACAAGAGCTGGCAAGGTTAGCATCACTAACAAGAGCTGGCAAGGTTTAATATTCACTAGCATATCCAAACTTTCTACAAATGCACATTTTGATAGTCTTTCGATTTGGCTGTAACTATTCCTGTATTTCCTCAAGGCGTTAGAGAGGGATAGAACCATTACGCAGTTTTTCCCTAATCTAGCCGCCACCTTGTGAAGGTGACTAGGGAGGCGATCCTCTACCTTCGATCTACACCAGCTAGGGCCGGTCCCCTCTCCCTCTGCTCTGTAGTTAGGGTTTCGTTTTGTAGGTCGTGATGAGCCGTTGGGGTGGTGGGAGCGGCACCCGAGCGAATAAATCTGCCTCAGCTCCACTCTCACGCCGGTGGTGTCCTTCATGGCGGCGTCTCGAAGTTGATGGCATCATGTGTTTGTCGATCCTTCATATCAGCAGCGTTAGTGTTCATGGATGGTGTTGGCGAGGCAGCGGCAGCGACCCTTTCAGGTGTGTCTCTCCTTCTGCTTTGTCCATCTTACTGCGGCGTTATCTCCGATGTCACGGTGGAGCGGGGAGGTTTTGTCGTCCTAGAGTACGAGCAGACGGTTGTGTACGCGGGTGATAGTTGGAAGAAGGTGCATCCTATGCTGGGTTGGTGATTGGAGGCTGACAGTTTTGGCTTCCTCCTCCGACGTCATTGTCATGTGGGGGTGTCAATTCTGGAGTTTGATGGCATGTTCGGGGACACGTAGCCCTGGTTTGATTCTTTCAACGGCAATGGTTTTGCTTCAGGCGTCTTCCTCCAAGAAAAGGCGGCTAGCGTTTCTGCCTCCCGTCGGCGTCGCCGCCGATCTCCCACATCTCCTGTGGCTTTAGGGCCATGGGTGCGCGGTGGATCCCGACCCTTGCCGGCGGGAGGGCTCTGTTTTTAGGTGCTTCTTCAAGTTTTGTTAGGGTTTATGTCCTGCTCAAGAAGACGAGACGACGGCGATTTCTTGAAGATGGAATAAGGTTCTCCCCGCCTAGCCCCCGTCCCAATGGTGTGTCTAGCATCGTCGGAGGCATGTGGAGGTGTGTCTCCGGCGGATCTCGCGAGATTTGGTCCGTGGTTGTATTTGGTGGATCCGCTCGGATCCGGTCTTTATTCGTCTTTGTTAATGTGTCTTCAGGTTGGATCCTTCCGATCTAAAATTATCTTCATCGGCGGCGGTTGCGGTTCTGAGGCGTTGGTCCTATGGGATCTTAGCATGACGACTTCCCGACTGTCTACTACAACAAGTTCTGTCCGGCTTCGGCTAGGGAGGGGCGATGACAACAGCGCGCCTTCGGTTCGCTTCAGTGCTTGTAGTCGTCGCTAGATGGTCTATGAATCTGGATGTAATTTTTATTATTTCTGGTGTTCGTTGTACTGCCATGGTTGAAGATGAATAGATCGACAGTTTCCCACAAAAAAATGGTTTTGCTTCAGGCAAACTACTTGGAGACCCGTAAAGCTGTTGATCAGCGATGGAGCCGCGTCCAGCTCGGATGAAGAGGTGATCTGTCTTATTTTTCTTGATGGAGAGGGACATGCATTGGTTTTTTGGTTTTTTGCGTAGGATTATTCTATATTTTCGGTCCTGTAATGTCGGTGTTTGTGTGGCTTGTAACAGAACTTTTACTTTATTAACGAGACACATATTATCATGAAAAAAGAGAGAGATAGAAACACTGCAATTCACAAAACTACTATGAGCATATTCCTTCAAAGTGGCAACAGGAGCATATTCCATCAATTAACACGATTTCACGATGGTTCACACAACTGCCGTCGGTTCACAGATTCAGACACAATGCCCTTGTTGAAAGTAAAACCATCTGAAGCTCACCATGTATCAGCAGCAGCTTTCTCTTCTCTTCAGCATTAGCTGCAGAGAGATTCATCGACGAAACTATCCGAACAGGCTTCAGTCATCATCAAAGAAGCAGGCCATGGCGAGGTCCGGTCACCACGCATCATCTGCGGCTGCTCTGGCATTGGTACGCATACGCTCGAACGCCTCGGCGGGCACCGAGAGGGGCCCAGCGCGCGCCTGCCACCTCGCACCGTGCCGCCCGGCTTTGCCGGACACGTCCTCGACGGCCTTGAGGAACTCCTTGGCCTGCGCCGGCGTGAGCACCTCCTTGACGGCGGCCTCCACGGCGCGCCACCGCAGCTTGTCGGCACGCCGCGCGGCGCGCGCCATCTTGCACACCTCCTCGGCGGCCGTCTCGGCGAACCCCTCCTTGGTCTTCTCGCACGCCAGCTTCATGGCGTAGGTGGACTGGTACTCGGCCACCTCGCCGTCCAGCGCGGCCTCGCGGGCCTGGAGGCGGCGCCTGGCGGCGGAGAGCGCCTGCGACTGGCGCTCGTTGGAGGGGAGGAAGAGGTCGCCCTCGGACTCGCTTGTTCGCAGGGACGGGAACAGCGCCGGGAGGAGGGCGAGGATGCAGGACGGGCGCAGGTCGCCGCCGAGCCAGGAGAGCGCGGCGACGGCGAGCGGCGGGTCGTCCGTGCGGGCGACGAGGGCGGGGACGTCGCGCGGGCGGACGGGCGGGCCGGCGGCGAGGCGGGAGTAGCGCAGGCGGAGGCGGGCGAGATCGGCGGTGATGTCGGTGGCGGCGACGTTGTCGCTGTCGCTGGAGTCGGAGGAGAGGAGGCGGCGGTGCGCCACCGGGTCCACCGCTCCGGGCGCTGGTCGGCAAGAAACAAGAGAGAGGCACAAATCAGCGAAGCAAGAAAGCCAAGAAATCGGCGCCATGGACTAGAAGAAAGCCATGAAATCCTTCATGGACAAGAATGGGGGGAGAAGCAATTACAGAAGGGGGTGAAGCAGGGGAGGCAGGAGAAGATGCCCTTGTCCTTCTTGGCGTTCTTCCCGCCGGTGCCGCTGCCGCCGCCGCGGCGGTACCCGGCGTCGTAGCCGTAGTAGTAGTCGTCGGCGTCGTCGCCCGGGAGGGGGCTCAGGAACGGCATTGCAGCGCGGTGTGACACGCTCGCGCGGAGATTGGGGATGGGAAGGTGGTTTCTGTTGGGTGCGCTGGTAGAGGCGAGTTTGAAGGTGCTCGGCCGAGACCCGTCCCGTCGGCGCTGAACGCCGGGGGAGCAACTTGTATACGATCAGCGCTTCAGTTGCGATCACTGACCGTTAGATTGAGATCTAACAGCCACAGATTAACAGAGGTGAGAACTGATGTTGTCCTTCGTATTTTACTGATCAAGAACTTGTGACCGGATACGAAAAGAGGATCATGAACGATAGATTCATAGATTTCTGCAGTTCATGAGCACAAAATGTTCGTAAGATCGTATTGTGAAAGGCTAAGTGATTGTGTGTGACACAAAACCTTCGCTGTGAAGAAATCCTAGTTGCCCCAAAATCAATCTCCTCTCCCTTTGTTTTTGGGGGCTTGTTACGATATTGTAAGAGCATCTTCAATAGATGGTCCAAATGTAAAAGTGCCTAACTTTTAATTCGTCTGAGGCAAAAAATGCTGCTCCAACAGACGGTCAATATGCAAAAAAATTTAGACCGCAGTTTCTCGTGATGTAAAATGCAACACCTCACAGTGCAAATTTACATCACGAGGTGCATCTGGTCCAAAACCAGCCGCCGCCGGCGAACGCCCAACCGCCACTTCTTTTCCGTTCCTGCCCGCGCCCGTCCGCTCGCCCGAAGACCAGCCGACCGGAATCCGCCGCCGCGACCGCCCAAAACCTCGCCATCGGCGCCGCCACCACCCCAAATCCACGCTGCCGTCGCCTCCCTCGCCGGTAGTCGGCTCGCAGCCGCCCGGACGCCGCCAAATCGGGAGGCAGCCGCGGTAGGCCTCCGCCGGGTCTTAGGCTGCCGCCGACCTCCTCCCCGTCGGCCGTGAGCTTGTTCACGGTCGTTGCGCCGGTCGCACGACCGCCGCACGAAGCCCTCCGCCCGGCTACCGAACTATTCTTCGCCGCCAGGCGAGCTCCTCTTGGCCGGCCTCCAAGCTCATTTCTTATCACCACCGCCGTCCGAAGCCGACCGCAGCCGTCAGCAGCAGCCAATCCAACGGACGGCCATCTTTTTCCACCACGCGTACAAGGTGTTCGAAGGAATTCCCCAAGGCAGAGGGAAGGGGATTCTCCTTGTCTCTCGTCCTTTATGTAGCAAGTTTTGTGTCGCGGTGATGTCGCTCCAACAATGAATCAGTGTCATTTTGAATAAAAGTCCTTCAACTCCAATAGTTTTTCTTGGTGCCGCGTTGCTGAGGAGCTCCGGAGTTTTTGGAGTCCTCGTTATTCTTTTATGAAAAATTGGTTGGTTATTTGTATTCCACGCCGGTGTGTTTTCATGTGCATTGACAACTGCAACATTATCTTTTTGGTATGACGACCCATCGCCAGTATGCTTGGCGCGATTTGCCAACCTCCGATGTACGCGACGATCTACTACTGCGATGATCCGACGAGATTTATTCCTCCATAGGTGTAGGTAGGTACTTCATGGTTGGATTGGATTTGTCTTGGTGTTGTCAATTGTGAGTGAGCTATGATGGTGTAACGGTGACAAATTTAACCGTGACCTTGACAAGAATTTTGAGACATATAGCTGTTTGCAGTTGCACTTTTTGTTTAAGGTCATGTCGTGTTCATGGGCTCAATTACCTTGTATCTAGTTGTGCTCATTGTTCTATTGATATAAACTAGATTTAATTTTCTATATCCCTATATAATGTGCGAATAACTTTGAAAGATGGTCGTTGGATAAAGCCAATCCGACGGTGCAGAGATGGCAAATCCGACCACTACTGGCTGCTGGATATCATCTACATTTTATCAAATTTTGCCACATGTACAATCTAGAAAACTCCATGATTGAACTTAAGCATAATGCACAAACCTCAAAACACAAGCACTTCTCCTTTGTTTTTAGAATCTTCCATGTCATAATTGCCCAATTTTTTTCTAGATGAATTGACATGATTTGTTTTACTTTATGCTTTGGAACACACAATTCCATGAATCTTAAAATAGATTATTTTTTTTATAAAAAAACTAATTGATTTTGAATGAGATGAACTATAAGAATTAAACGAATATCTACATTATGCATATATGACTCAAAGCTTACATGCTATAATGATGTGATATTTATTCATAATTTGATTGCCAAATCTCATGCATGCAATGCACGTGTACCTTACTAGTATATTATAAAACGTTAAAAGATTTAATACCCCTCCACGATCTCAACTCGCAACCTCCACTTATTGCGTCATGTTTGGCCCCTTTTGTTGGAGTGCATGCTTGCTAGATGAGACGCCGCTCTTGTATCCCGATATCAGTACAACCGCTCAGCAGTCACATCCAAGCTGATGAACGGGCATGCCATTGTTTCTAGCACTCAAGTCAAGATACCTCTCTTCTCTCCCAACTGGCCTCCAACCGCTCTCTAAAGTGGTATGATGTGGCTCGTGGTGATGACTGATGACAGAGCTTGGCAACGGGGAGAGTCGTTCGATAACATTAACGAAAGGAAGAAAAGAGCGCATGAGGATGCGGAGATTATTTTGAGACTGCTATTTTACTAGTGGGGAGCGCTAATGCTCTTTGTGTCCCTATTTATTTATTTTCAAAAGTACGGCAATAGTGTGTACCATATTTTTGCATTGGATAGAATTAGATTACAAAAGATCTATTGAAATGATGCCACAATATTCACTACATGCCTCTTTGATTCAAAGATTTTCCGTAGGAATGCAATATAAATACAAAATTTAGGATTCATTTGTTCTACACTTCATATAAAAAGTTTTAGCACTCCAAACTCATGTGGAGATTTCTACCCCTTCTGTCCATATTACTTGTCGTTCAAATGAATCTATATAGATGTATTTCAATGTTAGATACATCTATTTGAAGGACATGTAATATAGATCGGAGGGGTATGTTTTTTCTCAAATCATGTTCTCCCTCCGTTCGAAAAAATATACTTGTTCTAAAAATGGATAAAATAGATGTATCTATAACTAAAATAAGTCTAAATACATTCATTTTTGGGACAAGTATTTCGGGATGGAGGGAGTCCACAAATTATGATATACTGTAACTACCATTGCTCGTTGCTGTCGGTTAATTCTGAAAAGAAAAGGACCGGGGGATCCCATCAGGAAAACAAAACGAAAAACAAAGGGAAAGCGTGTTGACGGTTTGACCCCTCCTCCGGCGCTGTCCCTCGAAAATAAAGAAAGAAAGAAAGAAAGAAAGAAAGAGAAAAAGGGCAACCATGTAGTGTCTCCCCCTCTTTCCCTTCTCGCAGCAGCAGATCACTAGCTCACTCCATGGTGGAGAGAGTGGTTGGTGGCCACTAATGGCGCGCCTCTCCCGTCGCCGCTTCCTCCTCTCGCTCCACGTCGCGCTGCTGCTGCTAGTCCCCTGCTCCTGCCAGGTACCCGATTCGTCAGTCCGATCCTCTCCACGGTTCCGATTCTTGCGTGTTACTACCTACCTGCTGTGTCTCCCACCAAGTTCTTGCCCAGTTCGATCTGACCCTTGCTGCCTGCCCATAATTCCTGATGGCATGAGCATATTGTTCCTATCTCCTTCTTCTGCGAGAGTGATACATGAACTTGATTTATCTCTCAGTCAGTGCCTGTTTCTTCCTGAAAGTTGTGCGATCTTTGAGGGAGCCTGAATTTACCGCTGGGTCTTGTTTGCAGGTCGGGGATTCGTGCTCGGCGGCCCGCGACTGCGGGGTGGGCCTCTACTGCGGCGATTGCGCCGCCGCCGGCAGGACGCGGCCGTCCTGCATCAGGGACCTGGCCATCCAGCCCACCTCCATCGTAATCTCTTGCATTCCCTTGAGCGCTAGCTTGTACTCCCTCCGTTCCTAAATATAAGTCTTTTTAGAGATTTCATTATAGAGACTATATTCGGATGTATATAGACGCCTTTTAAAGTATATGTTCGCTCATTTTGCTTCGTATGTAGTCTATAGTAGAATCTCTTAAAAGACTTACATTTAGGAACGGAGGGAGTACTTACTATTACTCTGTCTGTGTTGGGCAATTACTCATCTCTTTTGTTCTTCAACCATGGGATGGGGCATGCTTGTGTTTGTCCAGGTGAAGGGGCTGCCCTTTAACAGATACTCATGGCTGGTGACCCATAATTCATTCTCCATCGTCGGCGAGCCGTCACGCACCGGGGTTGAGAGGGTTACGTTTTACAACCAGGAGGACACTGTCACCAACCAACTGAGGGTAACTGCACCTGAATACATGGGCCAATTTTTTTTTTTGAAAGGAGGATCACCCCCGGAATTGGGGGGTTATATTTTCGTTTTAGTTTTTTTGATTCTTCGATATAATGGTGTTTGCAGAATGGAGTGAGGGGATTGATGCTGGATATGTATGACTTCGGCGGTGATGTCTGGCTCTGCCACTCCTTGCAAGGGCAATGCTACAACTTCACCGCTTTCGTAAGTTCTCTTCTTTGCAGATGCCAAGCTATTTGGCATTTCGTTGTTTGGGTGAGCAACAGCCGCTTCGTCACAGTACTGACTTATGGGCTAACAGGTCACACTTTGGCCAAGTATCCTACAAAGAGTCCCGAGAGCCAAAAGTATTAAAGGAATGGCCATAGGAATGGGCGCATCATGACATCGTAATCTGTCTCGCCCGAATGAATTAGTTGGTACTAGAAATGTTAGAAATAGTAAACGAAAGGAGTAATAAGAAGTGAAAAGGACAGAGACACTTCCCAACCAGAAAGCAAAGTTCCCACTGATGGTATACTTTGTGTAAGCGAGCTCTAAGATCACATCTTTAGAATAAAATCCTGTTAGAAAAGGAAATCCAATAAGAGATAAGCTGCCCATGAGCATCATGGCATAGGTCAAAGGAAAGGAGGAGGCAAGCCCCCCCATCTTCCGCATATCTTGCTCATCCGACATGGCATGAATCACCGAACCCGCACTCAGGAAGAGTAATGCTTTGAAAAACGCGTGATTCATTAAGTGAAAGACGCTAACCGAATAGTTAGAGATGCCGCAAGCAAAGATCATATAGCCCGTTAAGCCACCTCAAAATCAAATGAAGCTCGGTTATAATACTCTGTCAACTCGTATATTAAATTCATGAACACGAAGACTAGCGTTGTTTTGTCACTCTTACGGTTCTATTGTGGATAATATTGTTACAGTGTGTTAATCAATTGGAACTAAAGAATGTGGGGAATGGAAGTTAATTGATTCCTTTCTGAATTCATCACTAACCTTGCGAGATGTATAGCTGTTAAGGCGATCAGACTCCTAATGTCCAAATGTAATGTGATTCTAGGAACCAGCAATTGACACACTGAAAGAGGTGGAAGCATTTCTGTCTGAGAATCCCACAGAGATTGTTACAATATTCATCGAGGATTACGTACATGCCCCGATGAGATTGAGCAAACTGTTTACTGCTGCTGACTTGATGAAGTATTGGTACCCTATCTCAGAAATGCCAACGAGCGGCCAGGAATGGCCCACCGTCACAGATATGGTTGCAAAGAACCACAGGTTGCTTGTGTTTACTTCCGATGCTTCAAAGGAGTCTAGCGAAGGAATAGCTTACCAGTGGAGTTATTTGCTGGAGAATGAGTGTAAGTATGGCTTTCTGGGCTTCAGTGAAAAAAACAGAGGTTCTATCGAATTCTAGGTAGTGATAGCTATACAACAATTTGCAAATCTAAAACCCAAAATACAAATTTCTTCTTGGCTTTCTATGTCTTGAGATAGCCTACCCCAACTTGTTTGGGACTAAAGGCTTTGTTGTTGTTTCTTTGTCTTGAGAACCTTGTTTAACATCCATTTCGCCTTTCAACTTCCAATATATTGGACCATGAGATTCTTGTGTGATTAATTTACTCCAAAGATGACTGTGAGCTGAACATATTCTGATTTAGAACCAAGTTAAGAGCTAATTGTGTAGTTTTTTCATTTCCCTGTTTTCTTTAATAATCTCATCAATGACTCCTTTAATAATGTTTTTTCATCTGCCATGATCATGATATTATATTATGGCCTCACACAAGTCATGTATGTTCTGGATTCTCGAGTCTAATGCATAGTCAATGTTGTCATCGGTACCTAATTACCTTAAAGAATGCATAGTCAACCACTTGAACACGAAAGTTTATATTATGGTTTGAGAATAACTATATTCTGCATAAAGGAGCAACTATGTAAATACATCTGAAGCAAACGCGGGACTATATTTGTCTATATTTGTCGGTCGGATTATTTTAATTTTGTTGCTTCTTCACTAATAGTGAAGTAAAGTATGAGCGGTGTGGTAACTGCAGCATATAATTATGAAGCATGCAAAGCTGAAGTACCAGAGCATTTTGTTTAGTTTAGGAGTTGATAGACATACTGTTGGCTGCTTTGGCTGGTTTTGGCAAGGGTATGAACTAGTCTTCAATCCATGGAGAGTTGATCCATTATATATGTATTATCAAGCTCGTGTGCTAGTTGTCCTTTCTGGGATATTCAATTTTTTTACTCATGTGCTAGTTACGCAACAAGAGAAGGGATCAACCCTCCCTTGAGTGATCGAGATGATCCCAGCATACCATTAGATGTTTGATGAATTAAGAACCACCTCAATTGTTTTCAAAATATATTCATGCTGTTTTGGTGCTTAAACCAATAAAAAAGATTGCATGACAATTGAATGTTTTATATCCTACCGTATCAGAATATACATTATCTGATCAGTATTTGCTTCTTAAAACATTGATCCGGAGTTATTTTGTATGCAAGATTTGTGTTCTCCTACAAATTTGCTCTCATAGGAGTTTTATACTGGTAGTCCTGTGAATATATCACTTAACTTGCACTTAACTCTAATTGATTTATCTTGAGTACTTTACTAATTTTCTCTGAGCATTCATTCATGTTTACATTTTATTTCCCGTGATCATGACAGCTGGAGATCCGGGTATTGACCCTAGCACTTGTCCAAACAGAAAGGAATCACAGCCACTAAACTCAAGATCTGCGTCTCTATTTATGCAAAATTATTTCCCCACAATTCCTGTTGAGAGTGAAGCATGCAAAGAGAATTCTGTTGGACTACCTCAGATGGTCCAAACTTGCTATGCTGCAGCTGGAAATAGAATCCCGAACTACATAGCTGTGAATTTTTACATGGTAATATAATACTTTATGCCCAGTTCAGACAAATACAAACAAGATATATCTGGTATTGAATGTAAGTATGGAACTGCTCTTAATGTGACATGCGCAGCGAAGCGATGGTGGTGGTGTTTTTGATGTTCAGGACAGAATCAACGGCCTTACGCTATGTGGTTGCAACACCATTGCTGCTTGCCAGGTAATTGTGAAGCCATAAATTTTGTGCCAACAAAAAACTGTAGTCCCAGAATTTGGTGTAAATTCGCATTAGCATCAGAAGATGTTTTCCAACCAGACTTCTATATATAATTAAACAGTACTAAAAATGGAATACCTTATGCACGATCAGGCGTATCAGCATGACTCCGCTCCATATATTTAAGAGGACACCATTCCTATTCTGGGCTTACCATTTACACTTTAAATGCCATATTGTTGTTATGGAAGTTTCATGAAGAAATGTTTGCAGGCTGGGGCACCAACAGGCGCATGCAAGAACACTGGAGCACCTAATCAAACCACCTCTTCTGTAAACGGGAACGTCTATTCAGGAACTATAGAATTCAAGACTTCTGCTTCAAGGGCCAGCAGTACTTCCACCTGGAGCAACTTGGTTATTTCGCTAAGCCTTGCTTTGATTCTTAAGCCATTTTGAACCTTCGGGCTTTGGTTTACGTGTCTTTGTGGGTTTGTGAACTGTCCTTTTCTTCTTCTTTCATACCGGCATATGTATGTTGTTATGTTGGTTCCGTGATGGGATGATGGTCAGCAGCTTGCTAGCTCTCTAGGCTATATTCAGAGAAATAGATAATGAGTTTGGGCTCAGTGTGGATAGAACAAATAGTGTGCAATGCTAGCAAATCTTACTATGGTGATTCGTCCCCCTCGCAAAGTAATACGAGGAAAATGATCGAATTATTGTCGCATGGGTAAATTATCGAAACAAAGTTGTGTTATGGTGTCGAGTCCTACAAAGTACCACTAAAAAAGTTCAGTAAAACATAAGTGGTTTTCCTGTTACATGGCTTAAAAAACAAATGCTTGGACCTTTCCTTTGGTGGTTTCAGAACCGTAGAAGATGTGCAGGAGTTGTTGAGGGAAATTTCATGAACACTATTCCAGATAGTGATGTTTTAACACTTAGTTAGATTGTGTTTGGGCATGTTTAGGCGTTTGCAAGTTCTTGTCATTTTGCCTACTTGGTGTCGGTTAAAATCTTGTTATTTGCTTGCCAGACTAGTGGTTCGAATTCGAAATATGCGATCTGGTAGACTGCTCTTGTAGCATGTCGTATGTGCTATTGCCGTCGAAATTCTACATAATCTCTGAAGGAACTTTTAAGCGACTGTTTTCCTTTTTATATCAGCAAGCAATGAAGTGCAGGAGGGAACTTTGTAATAGCAGTATAGCACAGCAAATGGTTCTCATGAGTGCAGATTGTCTTATGAAAATAAAGAAAAATAACATTCGCTCTGTCCGAAAGTTGTACTAAAGTTGAGACATCTATTTTAAAACGGAGGGAGTACTTTTTTAGCCAGTGGCAAATTCAGGGATTTCGTATATACCAGCAAGATGCCCGTTCGTTGCACTGAACATCAGGATGCATTTGTATGAGTAGATTATCTTGTGGATGAAAATGATGAACAAGGAAAGGTCTTATTTGCAAATGTGAAGAAGAGTGTGGATAAATCGTCATAGCTCATGGTTTTCCTTTTATCTGTCAGATATAGATAAGACGACCTATATTACAGAATGATAGGCATACCACCATCATCAACTCTGCTTTTATAAGAGTAGAGGTTTACTGTGACACTGACTCTTCCAACCGATTGTTGAAGAAACTCCTTGGAACATTGCATGGGTAAGTAATTAAGGATCTAGAAACCTGAAAAGGCGGTGCTGGAGCATCAATCGTGTACATCTATTCATCAACCGCGTACATCTATTGTAAAATTCGTTGCAAGATTTTTCATGCATCCAAGTTGTTTGACCTTCGGAAGAAACTTGTGGCGTTGTTCTACACTTCTAGTGACTTTTTTTTACGAGAAACTTTGAATCTATTCATTTTTAATCATGGCAATAAAACAAACATTATAAATAATAAAAATTACATCTAGATTCGTAGACCACCTAACGACGACTATAAGCATTGGCTTGGCATGGCGTTCTCCTTGGTTGAAGGTTTGAAGACAAGGTAGAAAAATTCAAGCACCAATGTCAAAGTCTAAGACTTAAACCCTGATTGGTTGGGGATATATTGTCCTCCTAACTATTCAATCACATGTTGCTTCGTTTGTACAATAATTCTTATAATTCTTATGATGATATATAAATGAGACACGTATTACCATGCAAAGAAAAGCGAATTAGCGGATTATTTTTTTCAAGAGTACGCAAATTTCGTACCATAGCTCTACAAAAGAAGAGAATATCAAATACAAGACAACTACCACTCGCTGCGAACAACGAGCGTAGCACAACTCCACATCTGCCAAGCCACAAACATCCACACACGACAACACAACTACAACGCAACATAGCCTGCCAAAACCGAGAGCCTCGCCGCGTCTCGACCGACGTCAGTCACCTCCGAAGAACAATAACTCCAGAAGAAGGCACCGTCTTGGAATCACCAGCGACGACCGTAAGCGCCGGAGCAGATCGATCAAGGCAACGACAAACACCAGAGGAGTGCAACATAGGATCATCAAGTCTCCTGGCACGATGCTCCCAATAGAGGGACGACGTCAAAGACGCCGCCATCGTGTCGATCCAGCACAGAATCAAGGCTTTCGCCCGGAGACAGCTGCCAACCCCGAGCATGCGAGGGGGATGGCGACACACTTGACGACGCCTCTGAGAAGGAGAACGACACCCACGGGTGCCATCACCGCCGGCCCGGTCAGAACCGGACATGATTTTCATCCATAATCCACGCATCTCCACACCTCCAAGGTTACGGTCAGCATTGACCCAGATGCCTCACACCGCTGTCACCGCAACAAATTGCCGTCGAAGCCGCACAGCCGTGTTCCTCCCCACCCGCACTGCAGGGAGAATGCGGCCCAATCCACCAACCACAACCAAGGAGCAGCAACATCCAACCATGTCGAGCAAGTGCCAGAGCCACCACGCCGGCCTTCACCCACATCTGGGGACTGCCACAGGAATGGATCTGACCCACGCCTCCGACCACTCCAGCGCCAACTCCTTTGAGGCATCACCGCCCGCCCCTCACGCGGAGGCGGCCGACCGCCCGCTGCCAGCTAGGATCTCCTTCCTGGCAGGGCCTCCTCAGCGACGCCGCCTCCATGGTTGAGCTCACGATGCCGCCACCGTCAGAGCTAGCACACCACCCTCCTCCACTACCTTGTTGCACACCTCGCCTGGATCCGCCACACCGTCGCGCTCCCCGCCGTGCACCAGCGACCACCACCGCAAAATGCGTCGTCGGCCACCCCACCACCACGGCCGAGGGGAACATGGAGCCATCCACACCTCCACCCCGATGGAAGGACAACAGCCAACCAAACACCACCGGCAGGGCAAGGCCCGCCCGCAATGGCCGTCACTCGCTCAAGGGACGACTGTGGCGCCCGGGTAATTAAGCTACAGTGATCCTCTGCTAATGATGCCACGTCACCTCGATTACTGTTCCTAATCTCGTGTTAGTTCGTAACTGATTCAAATTCAAATTCAAAATCAACCAAAGAATAAAAGTTTTCGAATATTAAAACTAAAATGTTCGGAGTGAACCACATATTGCATAGGTAATTATGGTGGAGAAAGCACACCTTTATAAAATGTTTAAACACTCTAAAATGAATAAAATAGTAACAATAATAATTATTTAAATGCTTTCAAAATGTTAAACAATTTCAAAACTATTTTTGCTTCGATGCTAAGTGGTTTGTGGCTGTGGCTTAGCTTGCAACCTCTATTTTCTTGCCACTGTAGTATTTTACTAAAATGTGAAATAAAAGAAAACAAATAAACATAAACTATAAAAGAAAATAAGGTTTAAAAAAATGGAAAGCCCTAGGCCAACTGGGCCATCCGGCCCAACTCCTCCCTGGCCCAACCGGCCTCCCATATCCCCCCCACCCTAGGAAACCCTAACCCAACCACCCGCACTCCCCCACATGCCGTCCCCCCCTCCCGATCCAATCTGGATTGGGGACGAGACCCCCACTCACCCCACCCCGCT